TAAATAAACATTTATTATCTTTTTAAACCAAAATTATCCACTAATTAAACTAATATGTTAGTAAACCTATTCATTCTTGGTGACACTGTAATACATGCAAATTAACATGAATTGTTGTAGAAATGAAATAATTTTCGACGAAATGAACTTTCAACAAAATGAACTTTCGATGAAATGATTGTCGACGAAGTGATTGTCGACGAAGTGATTGTCGATGAAACAATTTTCGACGAAACAAACTTTCGACGAAGTAAATTTTCAACGAAATGATTGTTGACGAAATGAAACAGACCCGAACTGTCGGTAAAATGAACTGTCGGTAGAATGAACTGTCGGTAAAGTGAACTGTCGGTAAAGTGAACTGTTGGTAAAATGAACTGTCGGTAAAATGAACTGTCGGTAAAATGAACTGTCGGTAAAGTAATTGTCGGTAAAGTAATTGTCGGTAAAATGAACTGTCGGTAAAATGAACTGTCGGTAAAATGAACTGTCGGTAAAATGAACTTTCGGTAAAATGATTGTCGGTAAAATAATACGTCGGTAAAGTGATTGTCGGTAAAGTAATACGTACCCGTTTTATTACTATCAAGGTCTCCATCTACAGCAACTTCAAGCAAAACATCATTTTCTACTAAAATAGGTGTAATCTTATCCAAAATATCAATTAATATTTGATGTTCCATTTGTTTAGAATTTTTTCAAAATTACCTTCATGGATAAGGTTGTGGGCGAAACCTCCTTAGTAATTGCTGAAACCATGGCAAAACTCTATTAAATCTTATCAAAAATCCTGTTGAAACTATGCCGAAATGGCGAAACCTCAAAATGCGAAACTCTGCCAAACTCTAATAAACAATTAATGTGTAACCTGCCAAAACCCTGCTGATTGATTTCTGGAGGAATTTTGGCAAGCAACCTTATTCATGGACAACAACTTTTTTCACCATCTTTAGTTGCAATACGAGGTTTTTCACAAATTGAGTATGCAATAACTGGCTTATGACTCATTCCTTCCACAAATCCATGAAAGATTAGCTCACCACTAGCCTGATAAGCATTCCTGACATGTGTCCAAGAAACATCAAACCCACAACACAATGATTTTTTGCCTTCATTTTTAACCTTTTCAATGGACTTAATTAAGGCTAGATTTACAACATCATCTGCCATTTTTTCAATTTTATCAAAAAGTTGACCTTGATATTGCCAGTAAGAAGCTCTTGATGGTTGTGATGTAACACCCATAAAGGCAATGCAGTTCTTAGTTCTTCTTGATTTAATCCAGCAATCAATCCTGTTGCAGAAATTGCTTTGGAATAATTCATGTCACTTGATTCATTACATAATTCTGATGAGAATTTGCATTTAAGACAATAAATGGTAACATTCAGATAAAGTCCATATGATTTCACCAGCCACTTCTTCTCATTGATTTTATGGCACCCACAATTTTTACAGGGGAACAAAAGTATCAATTTCAGGTAATTATTTGTTGATATAAAAATAGTTGGTCCCAAAGCATTTTCATCAATAATTTTATTAACTGCAGCATTTAATTCTTCTTCATTTTCCAATTCTCTATCTTCAGGTTCTAATTCCATAGGGTCAGCAATTCCAACCTTTAATTGTTCTAAATTTTCCGTTAATTTTTTAAATTTTTTTTTTAATGAATAAATTTCATTTTTAGTTGATTGATATTTTATAAGAAGTGCTTGAGCTGATTGTGGATCCATATCTATTCCTTCTGGTTGAACATATATTCCATACTGGACTTCTTCAGAGGAAGAACCGAGAGCTAATGCTTGATGCTTACAGGCTCTTTCTATTCTTTTGTTATTTTTTTTTGCACAAACAATGGTTGTCTCATCTAAAGGATTAATAACACTTGAAGATGATGTGAAAGAGGAATGGCATAATTTATTGATGAGGTATTTGTATCATTATTTTCTAAATTTGGATAAGATGAAAGAACTAATCCACAAAGATAATTAACATTTTCAATTTTGTTAAATCCTAATAAATATGGAACAGATATTTTCCCATTAAAATCAAAATTATATTGCAAATTAAACATATTATTTGAAGTGTTAGACCTAATGATATTGTTGATCTTAAAAGTACAATCATCTCCATAGTCTTCCCAAGTATATAAAAGAGAATCAGATTCTTTATTTAGGCCTTTCTCAATTGACAACCTAAGAAAATTTTTGCCAAGTTTGGTCAAAACAGAATATCTGGGTATTAGGGTAACCCATACATCACCCTCCATATCTTTGATTTTTAACCACAAGAAAAAACCTAAATCCTGATTTAATTGACCATGAGAAGATAAAACATTCAAATTATATCCATCATCATGTAGGAAATAAGTGCCATTATATCTTTGAAATAACTTCAAATTGCTGTTAGCAGAGGATAAATCACGAAACCAAAATTTTTTAACAATTTTTTTTGAACTCATCTTAACTCTTAATTGAAAAACAATTATTATTTATTAAAATTTTATATTTATATATGTTATATAAAAAATACATGATTAAAATAAAAAATGAAAGACATTTGTTTTTATGTGGTAAAAAAAATTGTGCTTTTGTTTTTTCTAAGTACAGTCAGACCTCCATAAGTGCACCCCCCTTGGGACTGAGGGACACCGTGCATTTATGGAGGGTGTGCATTTATAGAGAGAAGCAATTTCATTGGTTGCATGTGTTACATGATTTTTTTTAAAAAAAATATATATATTAATATATTTATTATTTATTATATTTAAAAATTTAATTAATATTAAAATAACTATCCATTGTAGTTTGTTTCGATGAATTTACTCTTTTTACATTGATATATCTTTCGATTTTATTAACCAATTTTATTTGTTCACTAGCATTTTCTTGCTGTAATAAAAATGCATGTACAGTTTCAAGGCTTTTTAATGCTTCCTCATGGCTTATTGTTGGTTGTTCATTGCTATCATCATCTTCATCAAAATCATCATCAGGTATATTCATATTATTTTTATATATTTCTGCAAGTTCTTCAATAATTTTATTGTCCTCTGGAACCTCATAGACAATATTTTCTTCAGGGATATTCAAAAATTCATCAACTTGCATTTTATCAAATAGGTTAAGGGTGGTGAGTATTTCCGAAAGTTCATTCAATGTTGAGTCATCTGTTGTTCTAATATTATCAGACAAATTTGATAATTCTGCATTAATACTAGCTGGAAAGATGTTGGTGTGTCTCCAACAGTTACGAAGAGTTTCAGGTGTGATTTCTTCCCAACTTTTTATTACAAATCTTATTGCCTGCAATATATTCATTTTTAAATCTTCTATTTTCTCACATTTTTCAATTTCATCTAGCAACCATCTTTAAAAAAAATCATGTAAATACTCAAAAATTAATACAATAATCATAAGACAAAAAACAAGTACATACTTGACATGATGAAATCTATAATGCCTTTTAAATGACATAATTATTCCTGCATCCATTGGTTGGAGTTTTGAAGTGGTATTTGGAGGTAGGAAAAGAACATTGACATGTGAAAGTGCCAAACCACCTATTTTATGGCTTGGACAATTATCAAGTAGCAACAAAACATGCTGACCATTGTATTTTTGAAGTGGCCTTTCAAAACTAGTTTAGATATTATTAAAAATCTCTTCGAAACTAATTTTGAAAAAGGAGGAGTTTATGCTCTCTATGACGACATTTTTTATAAATGAACATTAAATAAACCACATAACCGAACTTCTCATTTCAATTTTTTTTATTATTATTAATTCTCAAAGTACAAAAATACATATAGCTCAAAAATTTCATTAAAAATAAGATTATACAAATAGCCATTATAAAATTGAGTTATATCTATTTTTTGTAAATTTTTGAATAAATTACATGTTTTGATTATTCAGATCCATTGTATTATTAATTGTATCTCTGCATCTTAACCAAATGAAATCTTGTCCCAACTCAACATATTGTTGTTCCAATTCAACATATTGTCGTTCCAATTCAACATATTGTTGATTCATCGTCATAACACGATTTCTAATCATCAACAATCGATCAGGAATTCTTAAAACTAAAGGAACACTATTAATACCGTGATGAATATTGGACGAAACAATATTTAAATTTAGGTTATCATTATAAATTGTAGGCAATGATGTGAGCGAGTTGTAAAATAATGGTTGTTGCTGTTGTTGTTGAGATAAAGCTTGAGTCACCATCATATTGTCATTGTTGTTGCTATTTTGATTATATTGCCCATAATTTTGAATTTGTTGGTAGACATGTTGAACTTGCTGAATTTGTTGTTGTTGATCAAGATTTTGAACTTGCTGATTGATATTTTGTTGAATTGGTTGGATTCGTTGGCCTTGATTTTGCTGTTGTTGAAAAAGATGTTGATTGGAATTTTGAATTAATTGGGTTTGTTGGTCTTTATTTTGTTGCTGGAAAAAATTTTGATTAAAATTTTGAATGGGTTGGATTGGTTGGTCTAGGTTTTCTTGTTGTAGAATATTCATTTTGTAATTAGACTTAATTTTGATTTTTTTAATTTTATTTTATTGCAAGAATTAGTGGGATTATTGGAAAAAACCGCCGGATTTTATATTTAATCAAGGAAAATGTAAATTCTCAAAATATTCTTGAGTTACTATTTATTATACACTAAAAAAAAAAAATATTCCGTAGGAACAATTTTTTCACCTTACTCAAATTTCTTTTGATTGTACCAAGATTGGTTTTCGGAAATATTTTGGAGTGTAGAAAGTGTTTCAGCAATGATGAATATTAATATTTCCAGCATGTGTAAAAGCCGAATAGAAATATACGACAAAAGCAATGAGTGAAAGCATAAAATTCAAATTTAATTATACGAGCCTTCATCAAAAAGAAACAAAAACAAAAATTTTAAACATTTTTTTTACATCATAAATCATGTTGTTTAATTGGATACTTCTTTTTGATATAAAGTTGCTTATAATAAGCATATTGGGGCTATTTGCTATATTTGATCAATTTAGTAGAAATTGCAGCTTCTTTATTATTGTGGTTCCACGACTTTCTTCGGAACATATAGAATCATCTGTAGTGTTCCTGACCATAATTATAACTTCATACTTGTAATTATTCCGGACACTTGTAATTATTTTTAGATGCTCATGATTATTTTGGATACTTGTAATTATTTTGAATGTCATTATTTCAGATATTTGTATAAACTCTAACAAACTATTATTAATTTTTTCTTGTTATTAATTGATAAAGTTTCTTTTTGGACACTATCAATTTGATCGTTCATTTCAAGCTATATATCATCATACAAATCAAAAAAATCACCATCATTTTTTATCAGGTGTAAGAATATTATGTATATAATTGAAGTATTAGGATAATTTTCTGCAAATTCCATTTGGGTTTTGAAAGAATTACTTTTTAAATGATAACAAATATTTTAATAGTTGTAAAAATATATGTTATCTTTATTATCTTTGAAAAATGTTTGCTATATATTAGGATAAGTTACAAATAAAGTTTCGATAATCATTCATGAATTGTTACAATATTATATTAACAAATGTTTGAAATGATTATATTCAAAATAAATACAAGTATCCAAAATAAATACAAATATCCAAAAATAATTACGAGTATCCAAAATAATTAGGAAATAAATTAATATCCTTGAATAAATTGATTTTCGAACATTTGTAAAAAATTTGATTTTCGGTTAGGAAACTAATCATCTGATAATTCTTGATCTTTTCCTGATTGTATCCACTCGTTATCTAAATTCCACGATTCCAGGTTTTTGGACAATATTTCCAAGATGCTAATTAGCCCTTGGATAAAAAAATAAAAGCAATTCCTTTAAGAATCCTTTAAGAAATGCCAAGCGAGCTCATAAAAACTAGATTTAGTTTTCACTTGTGACAATAATGAAGAATTTAAAAAGCAAATTACAAAGAATTTCAAACCAAGGAAGAATCCCATCAACAAACCGAGAACAATCCAGAAGGGAAATTGCTAACTCCATATTGAATTTATGCTTTTTGTTTTGTTACTTTAATTTATTGTGTGAACGTTATCTATCAATTAGGAATTAATAAAAATTGAAACAAGACACAAAGAAAAAAATTACTTTGTTGCATCTTTGAAACCATCATCATCCCATGATACTCCTCATACTTCCGCTACCGTACCTCCAAGTGTTCGAGGTCAATAATGTTTTCTTTCTGTCCAGCCCCTTTAGCTGTTTTTATTTCTGCCATAATGGTTTTTTTAATAATTAAGTTCTAATAATTTTATTTAAATAACAATTTTATACAAAAATATAACATGAAAAATTAATCTACATAAAATCTAAAAATTACAATAAGTATTTAAAAAGAATACGGCGAGAAAATCGCTCCTTATTAAATGATACCCAGATGATCATCTAAGGAAAGAGGAAATTACTTATAAGTTTACAAGAAAACATCAAGACAACAGATAAAAACCGAGTAATTACCTAATAAAAGCAGAAATCTTTGAAGGAAGAAAACTGATTAAATAATCGAGGAAGAGTTAGATAGTAATAAAATCAAATAGGTTGGTTCATCATCTTTTTTTCGAGATGTATAATCCTTGTATTCTGCTCAAGTCTTGATCCAATAAATGTTTTCAGATTGAACATGACTATTGGTCTGTAATCTGAAAAAATAAATACTTTTTAGATTATCAGCAACCTATCATCAATATGGTTCTTAAATTTTAATATTAAGGCTTCTAACAATATTATTGTTAAAGCTGCTATTGTTGGTGTGTTAGGATTATTATTGTCGTTGTTGTTATTGAATTGATGAATATTTGTTATTACCATCGTCAAAAAATTCCATAAACTCGGTTGGTTGAAATTTTCGTTATATTTTTTACGAAATTAAACATTTCGTTTTCTTTTTATTCCTTTTATCGTACTTCTTGCTCTCAATATTGAGCATTATCATTAGTACTGCTGTACAGAAAGATCTTTCAACATTAACACAAGTTTTTGCGGAGGTTTCAATAAAATCACAACCCAACGCTTTGGCCATATTCATTCCTTCTTCCCTTAACACTTCTCTTTTATCAATCTTGTCGCATTTATTTCCTACAAGGATCATCGGAACCTTTCCGGAGTCTTTTATCCTCATTATATGATCCTTGTGTCTTTCGATTCGTTCAAATGTTGGACGTGATATTAAAGAGTATACTAGAAGAAACCCGTCTGCATCTCTAATACACTGATCACGAAGTCCTATATATTCTTCTATCCCTGATGTACTTAACACTTCTACCACACAAGGTTGATCCTCAATTATTGCATTTATGGATAAATCCCTCTGAAAAGTTGCGCCGTATATATTACACAGCTGGCGTATTAGAGCACTCTTTCCAACACCGCAATCTCCTAAAACTGCCAACTTGTAT